TGAGAGAGAGACACACACACACACACACACACCCCACCACACACACACACACCCCAATCTGATCACATGATCCTAGGGGGCTTTCCATTCCCGGCCTGGTGCAGGTAGGGTGACCAGATGTCCCGATTTTATAGGGACAGTCCCCATTTTGGGATCTTTTTCTTATATAGGCTCCTATTACCCCCCCACCTCCTGTCCCAATTTTTCACATTTGCTGTCTGGTCACCCTAGGTCCGGGGTATGATCCATCTCTGCCTCATTGCCTCCCCAATTGTTCCATTCTTCACCCTCTGTCCTCCTTGATCGTTATCATCCTCTTCAGGCAGCGCTTGTCAAACCTTATCGGAGCTGGCTTGCGTTTCCCCGGCTCTCCCAGCTGCGTAGCACTGTCAGGAGAGTCTCCCAGCCGTTTGACAAGAGGGAGACAGTGGCAAAGATGGCAGGGAGTATGGCTTGTGGTAAGGTACGGGCCTGGGAGCAGGGGGTTCTATCCCTGGCTCTGCCACTGGCTGTAGGCAAGCCGCTTGCCCTCCTTGTGCCTCAATTTCCCTGTCTGTTAAAGGCCACTCTGACCTGCCAGGCAGAGTGCTTGTGACGCTTGGCTAATGTGTGTTCGTAGAGCACGTTGGATGGAAGGTGCTAGGGAAAAGCAAAGTGTTATTAAGAAACAGCATTAGGTGACTGTAACTAGTGTTTATTGGAACAAATGGGAAACCCAGTGCAAGTTATTTATGGCCATCCTCAAAGGGACTGAAATCAATGGAAGGTAGGAGCCTTAAATATCTTTGAGGATCTGGACCTTTGGCCTTTTCTGCACCATGCCACAGTGCAGGCTACAGGGGTATGAACTGTAGAGTGCTCGAACTGCCGCTGCTGCCGTGAACTAACAGGTACCTACTGCCCGTGAACATAGAGCTGTTTGAAACAGGACTGCATCCGCGTGAGCGAGATCCCTTTTAGTTCGCGCCAGCAGGGTCTATGCAGGGCTCTTAGGGCGCGTGCAATACATTCGAGCGCCCCTCAATTCACACCGCCGTAGTCTGCCATGCGGCACTGCACGGGCTAGCCCTTAAAGTTGCAATTTAGGGCTTGATTCTGCACCGTAGTAACGTCGGTCACTCGATGCCTCCCTGTCACGCAGTCATTGGAGGGCGGTTCTGGGCAGACTGGATTTACGCAACGGCAGGGCAAGGAGCGGTTAAAGGATTTTGTTCAGCCCTTGGCCAGTTCAGGGTGGGTCCAGCTCCTGTAGTCTCAGGGTTCTGGCTGGTAATGTGGAGGATGGCCCTTTAACCGGGTTCCTGGAGGTCATTGGCCCACGGCTCTTGGTGCCTGCACGTTAGGCAGGGACTCACCCTACATGCTCATGATGGTCTCTTCCGGCCTTCAAATCTATGCAGTGAAATGTGGCGTTGGCCCTGCCTAGGGATCGCTTTATCGAGATACAAACCGAGCCCCTGTGGTTACTGTCCACATGCACGACATGCAAGTGAGCAGCACGGAGTGTTCTCGCTGCCTGGATCTGCAAAGCGGGGTCACAACTCCCCTCTACCCCCCTTCCCAACCTGCAGAGCTGCCATTCATTGCCATGGGAGGCGGGCGTGCAGCAGGACCAGCGTTCCCCCTGCTCATGAAGAGTCTCTGGCTGAGCTGATCCTGTGTACGTGTTCGTGGCATCTCTCTTTCCCCCCGTCCCCCCGAGGCACTCTTCATTACTGCTGTGCCTGGGGGAACCTTGCTCCATCCGATTTCCTTCCCAGCCCCACTCAGCCTCCACCAGGTTAGCAGCTCCCACTGGCTTAGTGCGCCGTGTAATAAACCCATCTGGAGGCTTTTGATTTTGCCAGCACAATCACATTACTCCTGTTAAAAATGGCTCGGCCTGGGGTAATAAATTGGAGGTGTCAGAGCTGTTTGCTTCTTCATCTCCTTTCATTACCCAGAGCAGCGATTGATCTCCGCTGTTGCTGTCCTCCAGCGGCACTGGGGGAAGCAAATGGGAAGGGCGAGTACCGATGATGCTTTTGGGGGCAGGGGGCAGTTTGCAGGGGGGACAGTTGGGTCTGTTTGGGGGGGGCAGACAGGGGAACTGTCCCACTCTTCCTCTTTGGGGGAGCATTGTCACAGCATTCTAGCAATCGGAGAGAGATGAAAGATCCCTATTAGGCTGTGTCTGATCCAGCCCTCGCTGCAGCCGGGTTTTTCCCTTGAGTGCGATCTCCGGCACTTTGTCCAGCTTAGAATGACTCAATCGATGCGGCATCCGCTGTATCCTTGGCGAGACCGTTCCACCGTCTCCATTTTCCTCCCCACCCCCACGGCGGTGATGGGGTTCTATTGGGGTGTTTCACCTAATAAGGGCTGGGGGAGAATTCACCATCGTGGCGAGGTCAGTTCCAGACCTGACTCTTTCCAAATCCTGCCCGGTACCCCAGCCAAGGGGCAGCATGTGCCAGACTCAATCAGTTCATCCCTCAGGGAGTTCACTTCTCTTTCTTCGCGAAGGATCCCAAGGCAGATGCGGGCTGAAACACCAGTTGATTTTTCACCACTTAGGCCCTGCTTAAACGGTCCAGCGTAGGTGGCGTGTCTAGCTGGATTTCCAGGCACTGGTCCTGGATTTTTCAGCCTATTCTTGCCAGATTCTGAGTTTCAAAGCCCCGTGCTTCAGCAGCCCTGCTGCTTTCAGGGAGGTCTGCACAGCAGCCATGGGGTGTGTTTGCAGCTTGTGTAGACATACCACGCTAGCTCGGGTATTGAAGCAGTGAAGCCATGACAGCACGCACTTCAACGGAGACTCTACAAGCCCCCCTGGGTCGTTACAGGGTTAGCCTGGTGCCAAACAGGGGTGAGCCCCAGGTGTGCCATTAGCAGCTTTGCCTGCCTGCACCGTAGGGGGGTTTGCAGTGGTTGGCTGGCCTATGGGGTTGAGCCGAAGCTCCCTGAACTCAATGTCTGTCTGGCTAGTGACTTGCCCAGATGTGGGATCAGGCCCCCTTTTATTCCCAGTTCAAGGCACCCAGCCCTAATTAATGAGCAGGATTTCACTAATTAACCCTCATTTAAAAACGGCAAACGGGGACCTATTTCAGCATGGATTTAACGCACCCAGATTAGTTTGGGCGCGTGCGCTCGCTTGGGGGAACGAGCCAGAAGAAATGTTAACCCCCTGCATTTAAAGGAGACAAAAGGCTAAATCAGATTTTTCCTCTCGATTCTTCTGTTACTAGAACAATTACCATTCCTGGCACATGAATTATAATTAGCAGCCTCTTCAAACATTAATACTTCAGATGCAGGGTATTTATATAGGGCTCTGGTATTTATATTTGATGAGATCTGTCAACAACTGTTCTGCTAGCCAGAATATTTTTCAGCCGAGCACATTAAACAGGACAATTAACTGGCTCTTACGCTTATTCCCCCTAGAAACACATTTAGGCTACTTCTCAATTGCTGATTGGGGAGCGGCGCGGGGGGGGAGGTGGGGGAAGGATTCTTTGTTCTGAAACAGAGGAATAGATTAGTGTCCCAGGAGGTGGCAAAGAACGGTACCGTTTTTATGAATACCAAGTACAAAAAGCTACATTGAGGTCAGGACTACAGTGTACCAAAGGCAGAACATTCAAAGGGAAGCAGCGGCAGAGTTCAGAGCTCAGGTTGAAAGGACGTAGTCTCTGCTTTAAAGGAAAAACAATGAGACTGTGCCCTTTTTGGCCGCTTGATGATGAATGAAGAAGACTTGAAAGATTTCATTTCCTTCTCCAAAAAAAGAAAAAATGAGGGGCCTTTTTAACCTTAGAAAAAGCAGAAAGATTAAATCTGGTCTTCCCTGTTTTTTTGCTGGGTGTCTCCTTGAAAGACAAGAGAACTGGAAAGAGAAGGGTCTCAGCCCTTAACTGAAGTGGGGAAGAATCTTTAAAGACAGCTTTTCTCCTGAGTGTTTGTCAGACCTTTGTGTTAAATCAATGTGAACAAAAACAAACAAACCCAGATCTTTGAACAGTCTGACTTAAAAAAAACCCTCCCTCCATGGCTCAAGTTTCACTTCCTTGGTTGCTATGTGGTGATGTAATCCTGCTAGTTTTCCAGTTTCCCTAAAGTCCTCCAGGAAAAACAGTAGACAAGATTTGACTGTATAGTGTTAGGTAAAAAATAAATTATAATATCCTATCTCCTAGAACTGGAAGGGACCTTGAAAGGTCATTAAATTGAGTCCAGCCCCCTGCCTTCACTAGCAGGACCAAGTACTGATTTTGCCCCAAATCCCTAAGTGGCCCCCTCAAGGATTGAACTCACAACCCTGGACTTAGCAGGCCAATGCGCAAAGCACCAAGCTATCCCTCCCCCCTGGTTGTTATACCTCATAAAGAAACAAAGCAACCACAGAGCACTAACAACCAGTGGGAGTTAGGCAGCTAAATAACTTTGAGGAACTAGCAATAGGGCCCTGCTCCTGCTCTGGGCAGATGGACCCTTGTTTCCATACAGAGCAGTCTTGCATTGGGCAGGTACTTCAGGACCATGGCTGCAGGAGCCGTGCCTACCTGACATGCAGCACATTGAATGCTAGTAACTCTTGAGGGGTCTTGTGCGCTTGCCCTCTTAACCTCAAAGGACATCAGGTAAGACCCCCCCCCAATCCTGCAAGTAGATCTATGTCCGTCGAAACCCACTGGTATCACTCCGGCACGGAAGAACTGGCAGGCCTGAGCCTTAATTAGGAGCAGAGCTAATTGAGAAATGAGGTGGTGTTTCAAATGTCCAATCGTCCAGCTTTCTTCAATGTTTTCCAACCAGCTCAAAGTAAGAGCCTGTTGTTATGTTTCAGAACATACAAATAGAGAAGTGAGATGAAAACATAAAATAGTCTCGCTGGAAGGTTGCAACGTAGCACTGCTTTGTTTTGTAGAATTCAGAATGATAAAAGCAGAGAGAGACAAAACAGGCTGCTCCCAGAGGTACAACTCACCGCACCTTGTTACTCTAGGCTCCCTGGCTGCAAACTGACTGCTGTGTTCATGCTTCCCTACAGAGGCTCCTGCCTGCAGGACCAAGAAACCCCTGAGCATTTAAATTGATAGCTCTCCCATGTTAAAAGTTTTCCATACACCACACCTGTGAGCCCAGTTTTCCAGGGCTTGCAGCATACAGACACACACACATCCATGTAGCCCCAAGGATATTTTTAAAGCTATATCAGTTCTTGTGAATGTATTTTTATTACAGTAGCACCTAGGAGTCCCAGCTGAGGGTGTGTCTACACTCCAACTGAACTGCAATTGGGGGAGGGGATTGAGCTTGGGTAGGCAAACCCGCATTAGCTTTTGTCTAGCTGGCGTGGCTGAAAACAGCAGTGAGGACAGCATCAGCTGTACGAATTCCCTCCCGCTCCGGGCTATGTATGTGTTTGCATTGCGAGCCTGGCCCACCGCGCCTTCACTGCTATTCGTAGCCTTGGTAACTAGATTAAAGCTAATTTGGGTATGCCTGTGTGGCACACCTTCCATTGCAGCGTAGGCCTGCTCTGAGATCATGGCCTCATTGTGCTTGGAGCTGTACAGAGACGTAGCGAGAGACAGTCCCTGCCCAAGAGACTAACTAGCAGAAGGGTAAATGACTTGCCCAAGAACGCACAGCAGGTCAGTGGCAGGATTAGAACCCAGCATGCCTAGCTCCCCAGTGCTCCAGCCACCCAGCCTCGATTTCCCCCTGCTGCTGTGACTGAGACACATCCAGTAAGAAAATTGAAGGGGGCCCCCCAGGTGAAATTTGGCTTGCAGGGTAGTTCATCTGCCCACCCAGAATAACCCTGGCCAGTCAGAGCTGCAGATGTTTGTCCCCTCCCCACCCACCGGGGAGCAAACAGCTGCCACTTTAACAGACTCGATCTAATCCCTCCAGCCAGCCTCATTGTTGTGTTTGTTTTTCCTTAATTCCTATCGGCTCAATTTCTCTCTCTCTCCACCTCCAGCTGCCCTCGCCTTTAATTCCCCCCTCCCTCCACTTTCCCTCTCTCCCCATCTCTCTCTTCTTTATTTACAGCCACCTTCTCTCCGGCGAGCAGAGCCCGTTTGCAATTTCACACCTCAGCTTGGGCTGGGCGCCGTGGAGCAGCCGGCCTGTCTAGCCGGAGACAACCAGGGGAGAGGGGCCGGAGAAGGCTAAAAAAGGAAGAGATTTAAACCTCCCCTCTGTGCATACCCGCAACTTTCTTTTGCCTGCTCAATTTCAGCTTCTTTGACCCCTCCCTCCCTTTTCCCTGGTCAGTTTCACTAGGCTCTGGGGGGAATTGAATGGATTGATGCTTCCCAAGGCGCTGCTCCCTAAGCATCAGGGATCTGGAGAAGGGGCATTTTCCCTCCTTCCCCCCTTTTCCTGTCGCAGAGGATGACACTTCTTTAGGCGCCGGGCATGAGGGGTGCTAGGTATCTGGCTAGGGTGACCAGATGTCCCGATTTTATAGGAACAGTCCCGATATTTGGGGTTTTTTCCTATATAGGCTCCTATTACCCCCCACCCCCATCCCGATTTTTCACACTTGCTGTCTGGTCACCCTATATCTGGCCCTCCAGCTGCTGCCTCGCTTCTTCCTGAAGGTCTCTGTAACCTTTGCAAACTAGAGGGAGCTGTGCATGCGAAAACCTTAGGGCCAGGAGGAGGAGGCGAAAAACCCTTTGACGTATCAGGAGCAACGATTGCAAAGAGGCTTCCAGACCTTCCAGCCACCGATATTTTTTTTTTATCTCCCGCCTTTCCCCAAATCATCCCCAACAACCGCATCCAAACTATGACCGGCTTCCTGAAGCTGCAGCTCCTTCCATCCTTCCTCCCCAAAGTAGCCCGCAGGTCCCTGAAACCAGGAAAGAACTGATGGATGCAAAAGGCTGAAAAGTCTCTTCCCACTCCCGCCCCCTTTTCTTTGTGCAGTTGCCTTGCAAAAAGCTACTGGTGGTGGTTGGAGATCACGGTTGCGGTTGTGTTGTGTTTGCAGCTGCTTTCCTGGATCCTGTAAAGGAGACGAGCTCTCAAGGAAAGCGTCATAACAACCCTCTCAAAATCTAACAAAGAAGAAAAAAGCTGTCACTGGACTCTTCCAAGCTAGACTTTTGCTAAAGTTTTCCAGTCCTGCTTTTGTGAATGTCTCTTAAGAGGGAGGAGGTTTGATTATTATTTTTTTTTTGTAAGATCCCTGTTTATTTGGGCTTTGGAATAAATCACTGTCTTTCCCTCCCCACCAGAAATAAAAACTGAATGATGGAAGTGTGCCAATGTGTACTGGAGATGGTCTTGTTTTTCCAGGAATTGCGTGTATGAGGGTTTGACACTTCAGCAGCCTTAACAGTAAACCAAGGAAGTTTCTGGTGGTGATGGGAAATAAATATATACACAGCTTCGTATCTGACAAGAAAATGTAGCTGGGATGCGATTCCGTTCCCCGGATCTCTTAAAGGATTCTAACTGGATAGACAAAGACTTAAAAGAATCGCTGGTTATATATTTATGTATTTAAGAGGAACTTTGTAAAGGCAGTTTTTAAATGGACATTAATGTGCCTGGCTGGTGTTTGAACAGATGAGGTGTTCATTGTCTAGGGTTGTTTGGGGTTGTTTTTTTTAAATGTTTCTTTCCAGACCATAGGAAATTGTCTTTGCGGGATGCTCTATTGTTGCTTAGATCTGATCGTTCCATAATGAACTGGTAAATTTCTTCTCTCTCTCTTTCTTTCCCCTTTAAAAGCGCTAATGCTTTGTAAATGCTCGGTATCGCAAATCCGTTTTAGGGATTAAAACCGATCTCTTAGAAAGACACTCTGAAGCTTTCATTCGAGACAGGTTTTTGGCTGCGTGTGTCTATTTTTTGAAGCTTAGTGCAGGGGAGATGACATTTTTTTAAAAAAAGACTTTTTCTCCCCTCAATTTTCCATTGCGTTTGAACTGGTAATAGATTGTGGAAACCTTCCGTGATCCAACCCCCCCACACAGATCTGGTTTGATGTAAGTATTTTATTTCATAGGGTCTATAGGATCTCCAGACAGGAGTGTGTTGCTTTTCATTTGGCGTTAAACACCTTTGAAACCCTCTTCTTTTAAAGGGAGAGAGGACATTTCATTTCCAACTCCTGGAGAAGCTCGCTCTGGGATAAGACATCAGCCTGAGACATAAACATTGGCGACCTCTCGATCCGCAGGGTCTCCTGAAAGGAAGATGAATGACGCCCAATTTGGATTATAAATCATGGGGACCCACTAAGGCTTATCTGATGGCAGCTTGAGAAGTCTTCCCAACCCACTTGTTCTGCCCAGAGAGGTCGAGGTTTTGTTGTCAGGCTGGAACAAATGGCCAAGTGGCTGAAAGATTACTTGAGTTTTGGGAGCAGGAGGTCTCCTCCTCAGCCCCCCACGCCCGACTACACGGAGAGTGAGATTTTAAAGGCTTACAGAGCGCAGAAGAGCATGGATTTTGAGGATCCCTATGAAGACAGCGACAATAAGCTGGAGCCGGATCCTGGGGGGTCGGGCTCCCCAAATACAGCAGCTGCTGGTGGCTGTGCGGAAGGGAAATACACCTCCCCAAAACACAGGCTTATCAAAGTGGAGTCCAAAGCTCTGTTGACGACGGCTGCTGAGGAACTCAAAGGCGGGCAAGAGCAGGTAAGTGCTAGGAGCAAGGGGATTTACTGAGCAGGTGTCCTCCAGGGGTCTGATCACACTCAGGCCTGGCCCTCTCAGCCTGCGGTCACATCAGATCTCTCAGGCTAAGCAGGGATGGGTCAGGTTGCTGCTTGGCTGGGGATTTCCGAGGTGCTGCATGCAGTGGGATGGGTGATTCAGTAACTGGTGCTCTTTGCTCTGAGTCAATGCTGTTCTGGCCGTGGTAGGGTGCACCGTGCAGCGGATGATGATCTTGAACGCTTAGTGTAAGAGCTGGCATATTCGGTTCGGCCCGGCAGCCTAGCCAGTGGCCCACTCTGGTGAGGACGCTGGGCTTCCCTGAATTCACCCTGATGTTGCAGTTAGATTCAGCATTGTTCACTTCCCGTCCTACAGTGTTTTGCGGTGAGCTATTATGACGAAACAGCTGCTGGTTGCGCCCCAGAGGTGGCTGCATTTTGGCGGTGTGTGAAATTACTCCCCAGGGCAGAGTTTGCTGAGTATTGTGGGATATACCCATGAATTGGAGAAAGGAAGGAGGGAGGGGAGGAGAGGGCCACAGCCTGGGAGCGTCTATCATGGGGCTCCACGGGCAGTGAAAGATTTCAAGCGGCGGCCACGCTTTTCGGTTTGTTTCACCTTCTGGCAAGAAACGTGCAATAAATGATCCTTCCTGACAGCATCAGGGAAAGAGCCGACTGGCTGGTTTCGTAGCTCCGGAGAGGAGGACTGGGGCCCAGGAGATCGGGAGTTGATTCCCAGCTCTGCCACCAATGCCCAGTGGGACCTTGTGCAAGTCCCTTCCCCTCTTTCAGGTCACGGTTTTCCATCTGTAACACGGGGCTAAAACGAAACGCCTTCCTTTGCCGCACCCTGGGTCTGTCTCGTCTGGTTAGACTGTACACTTTTCAGGGCTCGCTGCGCGTAGGTGCCATGAGGCCTGGTCTCATCTGGGGCGTCTCAGTCCTCCTGGAATCCCGCTCATTATTAATGCTATATAACACTTCCCCAATGGCATTTTCTGTATTGTTCCTCTGACAGTCACTGAGCCTCATCTCTCCAGCCCAGCTCCATCCAGGCTAGTCCTCCGGAGCTGCCCGTGCAGAGAGCATGCTGAGCGGCACGGGGGGACGAGGGGGGAAGTTTTGGAGCATTGCTCAGGGTATGCCTGGGGTTGTCCAGCAATCACTCCTCCGTGGCCCATTCTGGGCACGTCAGTGGGGCCGGAACAGCGATAGGCTACGTCTGTAACGGGCCTGGATCAATAGGGTTGCAACCGGCTGCACTCAGTGGTCCTCTTTGGAGCAGTGGATCCATGGACGTATTATTCTGCCGCTGCGTAGGGGTAGCTGTGCCAGCGCCTGCCCAGGCAGGTCGTGCCCATGCGGGACACCTCTGCTCCATCCACTAGACTCTGGACGCATCCTTTCCATTATCCGTTGAACTGTGGGCTCTAATGTTACATGAAGGGGATGGGGGACGCTGTGGGTACATCTACCCTGCAGCCAGGAGGTGCGGCGGCGGGACGTGTAGCGTACCCCAGTGAGCATAGCAGTGAAGCCGCGGCAGCACGGGCAGAGGCCCAGGTTAGCTGGTCGAGCACATTCCGAAGGACCTGGGTGAGCTTGTACCCAGGATTCTATATTTAGCGAGCGAGTGTGGACAAAACCAGCTTGCGTATGTCTCGTGATTGCTGGGTAGACATAGGGGACAGAGCGGGGATTCCAGCGGGTGGCGCAGGGGAGTGGGGAGGCAGGACTCCTGGGTTCTCAACAGGCTGGGAGCGCTGCCAAAGGAGAGATCAGCGCTGACCCCTCTGTCCGGGTCACAGATGGCGGGGATGGATGTGCAGAGCCCTCGGCCAGTAGGATGGGCTGGGGGATTGTCAGCACATCAGTGAGCTCATGGAGGAGCGTGTGAAATCCAGACCGAAGTGCGAGGCGGTTGGCAGGCTCAGCTCCATGCGACTGCTGCTGGGATCGCAGGTTCCCGCCCTCCTTAGCACCCCTGCTCTCAGCCTTGTTAGCAGTGACGTGAGGCAGGCAGAGGTGCCGATGGCCCAGGGGGATTTTTCACACCTCTCTCCACATGCACCCTCTGCATTCCCACCGCCTGCGTTTGGCAGTGGCAGCGTGTTCCGGTAGCCCCATCCCAGCCTGCCCAGCGATCACTAATGAACCCCACTGTGGGAGAGGTCAGTGCTGCTCTCCCCAGGGGGAAGTGAGGCCCAGGGAGGGGGGACGTGACAGCGGCAGAACTGGGATTAGAACCCACGTCTCCCCACTCCTTCACTCTGCCCACTCGCCCTAATTACAGCATCTGCCATAAATTCCTAGCTTCAGCCTCAGCCTTTGATGGTTAATTCATTGGCGACGATAAGTGGGCGACATTTAATTCTGGGAGCGACTGTGCTTCGGGGCCAAGCTCCAGCCACCCCGTGCCAGAGGCCAGAGGATTTCTGAGCGAGATCAGGTGGAGGGGTGAGCTGGGAGGTCGCTGTACCTGGCTTATGGATTCAGGCCATCAACAACAGACTACCAGCTCACCTAACCCACACCCGGATCCTCCCCCGTGACCCTGTAACGCGGCTCTTCGGCAGGAGGGCTTGGGCTTGAGGGCCACTGCGGGTTATGTCACAAGCTGTTAGGAAGGTGAGCGACTCTACAGGCAGAAATAACCTAGATCTGACCTTGACTGCATGAGATTCCAACCAGCCTGGGTAACAAGCCGCCAAAGGCTGGCAGGGGGACGGGGGCCTTGAGGACTGTCCCTTGAGTGGGTTACACGGAGGAAGAAAGCCCCCGTTTGTTAGCGGTAGCTAATCTGCCGTAAGACTAGCTCGGCAGCAGCGTGGTCTAGTGGTGAGAGCAGTGAGCTGGGGCACCCGGGGGGTCTATTCCTGGTTCTGCCACTGTCCTGTCACATGACCTCGGGCAAATCCCTTCCCCTCTGGTGCCCCGTCCATCCGATCTCTTTAGATCAGAAGTTTTTCTGTGCAGGGGGGGTATCTCTCACTTTATGAGCATGCGGTGCCCAGGGCAAGGGGGCCCTGATCTCAGTTGGGATCACCAGGCGCTACTAGAATAATATGTTTACACGATAGTTCCTTGGTAAGCCTGACACTCCCTAAGGCGGGTACGTCATGGCTAGGGTGACCAGACAGCAAATGTGAAAAATCGGGACAAGGGTTGGGGGTAATAGGAGCCTATATAAGAAAAAGACCCCAAAATCGGGACTGTCCCTATAAAATCGGGACATCTGGTCACCCTAGTCATGGCCCCCCCACACTTTGCTGATGGAGACGCGGATGCTGTCTGTGCTGCAGCTGGGGGGTGTGATTGCACCATGTGTGGACATACCTGAGCTAGATTTGATCTAGTTAGCATGTACAGCCCGCCCCGAAGCTCGCGCTGCCAGTTCCTTTGCTGTTGGTGTCTGACCTGGCTAGATCCAAGCTAGCTCTGGCCTGTCCCGGCCTGCTGTGGTCACACTCCCCGCCTGCAGTGCGGACCTACCCTGAGACTTGCCCACAAGCGGGGCCTGAGCTAGGAAGAGGAGCCAGGGGTCATAAGTCCCTGTACTTTGATCACTAGACCATGTCTTCCTCTCCTTTACACCAGCATTGACTCTGGAGTGACTGTGATTACTGCTGATTTATGCCAGAGTACATGAAAGAGGACGTCAGGCCCCGTGTTCTTACCGTGATAATATCCAGCATATTTCTGCTCCTCCCCCCCCCAAGCTATTCCTTGACCTTGTCTGTAGTGTCCTTGGGGCTGTTTTGATTCCCTTTTGAACTGGGCCACGTGTTCCTCTCTGCTACCGGTCACCTTGAGTTCAGAGACAGTCCCTGCTGGATGCTGGCCTTTGCTGGCCGTACTTCTCACTGGGGGAGTTGTTTTTCTTTAACTCTATCAGTGAAGTTGTTGCATACGCACACTTTACATTCAGGCAGCGCCTTCCATCCCAAAGCATGTTACATATCCAGGAAACACTCACTCAGCACTAAAATGCAGCCACCTCTGGGGTGGAACGCGGCAACTGTTTTAACAGCGCACAGCAACACTGCCCAGGGAGCACTCATCCACTGCTGAAATGCAGCCACCTCTCAGGTGAATGGTGACAGCTGTTTAACAGTGCCTCTGCATAGGGCTCACTCACCCAGCACTGAAATGCAGCCATCTCTGGGCTGGAACATGGCAGCTCTAAGAGCACACAGCAACACAGGGCAGGAGGTAAAAAGAAACCAAACAGTCATTTCACCATCTGGAATTTGACCAGGACACGGGGGCTAATGCCTTGCCCCTGGCAGAGAGCTCCCTGGGGTTTGTAATGAGCGCAGGTGCTCAGAACACTGGGTTTGTGTGAGCTGAAACACGGCTCCTCAGTGCCCCATGGGCAGCGCTGACCCAGTAGGAAGTGCATGCACCTCTCCTGGTACCCCTGCCTCTTTTCCCACCCAGGCCTCATGCTGCTGGTGTGAGGAGATCAGCAGGAGGTGCTGTGATCGTTCAGTCTCGTGCCCTTTCCTCACAGTAGCTGCAGGTGCCAGTTCTCCTGCATCCGAAATTCCCAGCCCAGCCGCCATTTACTCTGTCTCCACTGATGAGCAGCGGTATCAGCTTCTGCTTGCGCCCTGCGAAGGCGCAGGTGCCCCCGTGCCAATCAGACGGCTCCCCCATCTCTGATCCCCGGCTGCCAGGCCCTGTCCCCCTGCTCGCTGCCCCCGACAGCGTGTTAGACGCGCTCAAACAGCCCGCGGAGGAAATGTTTTGAGAGCTGCAGGCAAATGAGACAGGCGCGAGGAAATTGCCTCTTGAAGCAATTACCCTATTTCTCCCCTTTTGTGTCTGTGAATTGAGCGCTAGGGAATGAGGGGGATTGACAGCGCTGCGGGCCGATGTTTTCTTTATCCACAGAACGGGTGCATTCTGGGCTGGCACAGGACAAGACATGCATGGCTACACACACACTCACTCACACACACAAATTCACACACACTCAAACACACACTCTCACACACACGCACACACACTCACGCACACACATACTCACACGCACACTCACACACACAAACACACGCACACGCGCGCACACACACATACTCACGCACACACACACACATGCTCACGCATACACATATTCACACAAATGCATATTCACACACACACATTCACACACACACTCACACTCAAACACACTCACACACACTCTCACACGCACGTGCGCACACACTCTCACGCGCGCACACACAATCATGCGCACACTCACACGCACACTCACACACACAAACACACGCACACGCGCGCACACACACATACTCACGCACACACACACACATGCTCACGCATACACATATTCACACACATGCATATTCACACACACACTCACACTCAAACACACTCACACACACTCTCACACGCACGTGCGCACACACTCTCACGCGCGCACACACAATCATGCGCACACTCACACGCACACTCACACACACACATATTCACACACACACACACACACACTCACACACTCTCACACACACACTCACACACACCCTCTCTCTCTCTCTGTCCAGTCTACATGCCTATACCCTGTGACTTGGCGGAGCGGGGAGAGCGGGCTCCATTCTGCTGAGGCTGGCAGCGACGGCAGCGCTAAATGCGTTCTGCCCGCTCTGAGCTGACCCTGAGACCAAATAACGCCCTGCACTGAGCAGCCACCAGAAGGCAGCTTCTCCCAGGCCTCCCTGCCCCAGCCTGGATTCAGACCTGAACCCCAGAGGTGAAAGGCTCCAAAGCCACATGGCCACGCAGTCCCGCTGATTTCTTTGCTCTCCATCGCCTCTCCGCCCAGGGCGTAGCACTTCCCGTCTCACACTTGAGCCCGCTTGCTGCCTCTCTGCCTTCAGAGACGTGGGATCGGCTGTGACAAAGCTTAGGCCAGATCTTCAGTGGTATTTAGGAGCCTAACTCCCAGTGGGCGGATCTGGGTCTTAGCAGGGCTGGTGCAACCACTAGGCAAACTAGGCGGTCGCCTAGGGTGCCAAGTGGTTGGGGGCGCCAAAAAGCGGTGCCCTGGCTCGGCAGGGAGGAGCCGCCTTCCGGAGGCACTGGAGAGCCAGAGTGTCGGCTTGCGGGGGCGGCGAGCCCCAGCCATGGAGGAGCCGGCGCGGCGCAGGGGGGGCAGCAGCCCTGCAAAGGCGGTGGTGCCGCTAGCGGGGAGCAGCCGCGCCCCCCGCCCTTCCTGCCCAGGCTGCGGTGCGGCACCCCCCCCGAGGGCTCCTGCAGGCTGCAGCAGATGCATGCGGGCACCGGCCCCCATGCGCCCCCCCAGCTTCCCCCTCACCGCACTCAGGCTTCGCGGTTCCCGGGCATGTGAGCCGCCACCGCCAGGGCGCGGGGCCCTGAGTCTGCTCCGGGAGGGGTAGCGGCGGCAAGGGCGGGCACTGGGCCACACCCTGAGCAGGCTGCTGTCCCCCTGCCTCGCACCGGCTCCTCCATGGCTGGGGCTCACCACCGCCACAAGCCGACGCTCTGGCTCTCCGGTGCCTCCGGAAGGCGGCTCCTCCCTGCCGAGCTGCTGCAGCGGCCCAAGCCTGGCAAAGCCAGTGAGTGGACTCGGGGCGGGGGCCGCCGGGGGTGGGGTGGGGAGGGCTCGGC